GGGAGGTGTCCCTGCCCAGGGCAGGGATTGGGACTAGGTGATCTTTAAGATCCTTCCAACCCAACCCAGTCTGGGTCTGTATGATTCTCCCCCCTCTTGCTGCTATTCCTTCATCAAACTTTTCCTCCCATAGCCCATAGAATTGTGGCCATCCTGCAAGTGGCTGGACACCAACTCCAGCAGCACCTGGTGTACAGGGAATCCCAGGTTGTTTATGAGCATTTCAGAGGTGCTGGCAGCACAGTCACCATAAATCTGAGCCTGTCACCATGTGGGGAAACAGCTCTGAAACACGAGTGTTTTACACTGCGCCGTGTTAGCAGCTCTGTCAGATTTGGGTCAGGCTGCCATGGGGGGATGGCAGCCCGGTGGGCTTGGGTCTCCTCCTCCCTTTCTTCATTCCTTTTCTCCTTCCCCATTGAATGGCATAAATAATGCAGCCTTTTTCCCTTGTTGTGCTATTTTTGGGGCTAGGATTCTGGGTTAAGTGAGCGCACGACTCGCCGCCAGCTCTCGCTGCTCGGCGGGCAGCTCCCTCCTGCTCTCCACATTCCTCTTGCCAATCCTGCTTTTCCAAAACTTCCTTAACTCTTGAGGTTTTTTTACCTTTGCAGCAACCAGGTGTGTTTTTACAGCCTGCTCTCCAGTGGCCTTTTTATGTTGCACTCAAAGAATTCCCATGAACCACATTCAATATCTATCCTTAAATAAGAAAACTAATTCATTCATTCCCCAGAGCCTTTCCAAGGTCTTCTCTTGCAGCTCTCCAAGGGAATGCAGATCTCCATGAGGTCTTCTCATGGGCTGTTATTGGGTCTGGGTGGAAAGACTTCCATGTGGGGACAAAGATGCTTCACTGATGCCAAACTGCTCCATGCAAAGGTGCTGCCTTGGATGGATTCTGTGGGAGCTGGGGCCAGTTCCACTCTCTGGCAGTGTCAGCACAAGTTAATGCTGCCCAAGATGAAGTAGAAAGGACATGTTGGAGTGTTACATCCTGCTGGGATCTGTCTTTTCCCCCTGATTGCATTCCTGTAGTTGGGAGAGGAGAGGCTCCGTGCTGGAGGAGACAGTTCAGGGCTTACAGCAGTGACATGTTAAGGGTTGGACTTGCTCTTAGAGGTCTCCTCCAACCTTGATGATTCTGTGAAAAGGAGCAGATGGACCAAAGGATGCAGAAGGATCCCAGAGGACCCCCAGCTCCCATCTGTGCAGAGCCTTTCCTGACATGCCCTGTCCCCTCTGTGCCAGGAGGCTGATGACTCGGCTGGAGGACATGCGCCGGAGCGTGTTGGGCGACGGCGTCAACCGCTGCATCCTCTGCGGGGAGCAGCTGGGGCCCAGGGGATCTGCCTGTGTCGTCTGTGAGGACTGCAAGAAGGTAAGGCACCTCCCTGTGCCCCCCAGACCTGCACAGCCCCCCCAGACTCTCCCCACCTCGGGACACCTCGACGTTCGGGTGATGCTTCCGTCCCTCTGTGCGTGGGGAAGGTTTTCTGCGCTCGCTGGTGTTTGTGCTGGGAGAGCTCTCATTAAGCAGCTCTCATTAACCCCCCACTGGTGCTGATGATGCAGTGGGACCTTGTGGTGGCCCTGCTGCCACCCAGCATTTTGTTTTTTCTGCAGAATGTCTGCACCAAGTGCGGGGTGGAGACCACCAACAGCAGGCCCCATGCCATCTGGCTCTGCAAGATCTGCAGTGAGCAGAGGGAGGTGAGTGTGGATCCCCAGGGGCTCCCCCTGCTCTGTGGGATGTGGTTCCTGCCCTTGCTGTCACCCTGTGCACTGTCCCCACCCCAGACTTTTGGGACAGAAGCAGCTCCAGCTGGTGGGATGCTCCCAGTGATTTCCAGCCTGGTCCTCAGCACCACTAAGTCTTGCCCAGTTGCTTCAGTCTGGTCCTTCTAGGCTGGTCTTGTTTTCTGTATGAAATGACATTTATTTGTGTCTTGCAAGCAAAGTCTTGATGTC